CGGAGTTTTTGAGTCCGAAGGCCATGACGAGGTAGCAAAAGATTCCCTCTGGGGTCATGAATGCCGTCTTCTCAGCGTCATCCTCATGCATGGAGATTTGGTGGTACCCTCTGAAAGCGTCGAGGAACGACATCAACTCACACCCCGCCGTCTCGTCCACCAGCTGATCAATGTTGGGAGAGGGAACGGGTCCATGGGGCACGCTTTGTTCAGGTCAGTGTAATCAACACACATTCTGAACGTCGGCGGTTTCTGGGCGAGGACAACGTTGGCCAACCATGTCGGGTACTTCACCTCTTTAATGTGTTTGATTGAGAGGAGCATGGCGACCTCCCCTTTGATGAAGTCCCGCCTGTTGGCGGACAAGTAGCGCCGCTTCTGCTTGACAGGCGCGGAGGCCGGATCGACGGTCAGCCGGTGAGTGATCACCTGGCGGCTGATGCTTGACATATCGTCCGGGCCCCACGCGAAGACAACGGCGTATGACCGTAGGACGAGGAGGATGGCGTCTTGTTGGTCCTGGGGGAGTTGCTTTCCGACTCTGAGAACCCGCTCCGGCCGGGAGGTATCCAGAGGGATTTCCTCGACCTCCTTGGCCGGCTCCGCATGTGGCCTCTCCTCGTCCATGGCGACGGCGGCCGTGATGGTGTCTATCCTCTGGCCTTCCCTCTCGGCCGGCCTCGTCAGTTTGAGGTAGCATGCCCTGGCTATCCTCTGGTTTCCTCTGGCGTAGCCGATGCCGTCGTTGGTGTGGAACTTCAGGCACAAGTGCTTCATGGAGATCATGGCCTCCAAGTCCTCCAGCGTTGGCCGGCCCAAGATCAGGTTGTGGGCGCACTGGAGGTTGACCACCATGAACTCCATGTCAATTCTGGCGTGGTGGGGGCCGTCACCGACCTCCACGGGGAGGACTATCGTGCCCTCGGCGTCGATAGAGTCCCCGGTGAAGCCGGATAACGGTGTCTTGATCGGCTTCAACAGGGCTCTGTCCAGCTTCAGCCGCTTGAAGGTTCCCAGGTACATCACGTTGACGGAGCTCCCCGTATCGATGTAAGTACGGTGGATGATGGAGTCACCGATCTCACATCGGATGACGAGGGCGTCCCTGTGTGATTCCGTACCCGGAGGCAGATCCTTGTCGGTGAAGGTGATCGCCTCCGTTCGCTGCTTCTTCGGCTGGGGGGGGGGGGGGACGTGGGACACCTCCCCAATGTAAAGGGATTGGGCCCTTTTCTTTCTCTGAGTGGCGGAGTCCCCCCCAGTGTTCCCACCTACGATGAGGTGGATGTGATTCTTCTTCGGCGGGGGCTCTTCGAAGTCCTCGTCGTCGCTGAGCCTACCAATCTCCCGCTTCTTCGCAGAGGGTTCGCCCCCATGTTTGCCGGTGTTTACCCAAGTGTTCTTGCGTGGGCCACCTTTGACAAACTGGGAGAGTTCCCCCTGGCGAATAAGGCGCTCGATGGCCTTCTTCAGTGTGATGCAATCGTCGGTGTTGTGCGACGAGTTCTTGTGGAACCGGCAGTATGTGCCGCCCTGCTGGATGGCAAGGATCTCCTCGGCCGGCCGAGGAGCCTGCTCGATGAGGCCGTGCTTCTCGGCATAATCGAGGATGGTGCCGACCGGGTGGGTGAGGGTTACCCCCGGCCGTTCCAACCTCGGCCGCCAGTGGCGATCCTTCTTACTCTGTCCACCAGAGCCCTGACGGCCCTGGGCACCCTGGCCGGCCGGGGACGGACCCGGGGCCGGCGAAGGATTTGTCTTCTTGGAGGGATGGCCCCCCTCTCTCTTGTGATTGTGGAGCTCGTCGGCGTCGGCATACAAGCCTCCGCGCTGGAGCGCCTTGGCGTACGACCTCGGGGGGTCGGTGATGAGGCTTCTAGCGTACGGGGAGCTGCGGAGGGCTCCCTGATACAAGGCGAGGAGGGTGCGCTCATCGGCCCCCTCGACCTCCTCGGTTTCCCTCGTCCACCGATCAATGAAGGACCGGAGGGACTCCTCGTGGTGCTGCTTGACGGAGAGGAGGTGGGTGAAATACTTCTTCGCGCGCTTCCTCCCGGCAAAGTGAGTGAGGAAGCGCTGGGCGAGATCCTGCCATGAGTCGATGCTCCCTTCGGGGAGCGCGTTGAACCACTCGTACGCTGGCCCCTCGAGAGTAGAGAGGAACCAACGACAGAGGTATTCGTCGGACACGTTCAACATCAGCATGTTGTTCTGGTAACGGCTGAAGTGTTCCTGGGGGTCTGATCGGCCGTCGTAGGACTTGATGGCGTTCCCCCTGTACTTCTCCGGGATGGGGGCCGAGAGGACCCTGTTGGTGAAAGGGGTCCTGGTCCTGACCTGGATGATGGGGTCACCTCGCCCCTCGGCCAGCTCCCTCTCCAGGGCGCTGACCTTGTTCATGAGCGCGTTGAGGCCGGGGTCGTTGGAGGCGCCGGCCGTAGGGATGTTGGCCGACTGCTTGGCCTCCATCTGAGCCAGCCTCCTTTCCAGCTGGGCGATGACCTCGTCCCGGGGGTCCCTGGCGGCCGCAGCGGCGCCCGGCTGGTTCCTCATGCGCTCGTTGTGAGCCGCGTTGATCTGGTGACGCACGTCATCCTCGTGCAACTTTCCCTTGCCCTTGTCCGGGCGGGGCTGGTCCGCTGTCCGGGACACAGACCCCAAGCTTTCCCTCGGCGAGCGAGGATGAGGATCACCAATCCGTCCCGCCATCCTCTCCGAAACCGGACGACGGCGCGTGTCACCTAGCCTATTGAAGGCAGAGGCTTTTCCACGCGCTGGGGTCTGCCCAGGCCGAAGAGGGGAAGCAGGGTGGGAGTGGGACGACGCCGTGTCCTGGGGCACCACCCCCTCATCGTTGCCTATCTGGACGGCCAACGGTTGGGGCTGAGGGGGTTGAGTGACGTTCCCCCCGGTCCTTGGCAAGAGTACGCTGAGGACGGTGGGGTTCTGAGCCAGGCTGGCGATGATGACCGACAGCGCGGCCTGGACCTGCGGATCCACGGAAGGAGAGGCCGCGGCCATAGGCTGGGCCGGGGCGTGGTCCATCTTCTCAGCTCGTTTCTTGTCCAGGCCGAGGCGGGCATCAGGGGCTCCGCCGTTGAGTTGGTTGCGGAGGTCCGTCGTGAGGTTGAAGGCCTTCTGGAAGAGGTCCCCTCCGCCGACCTGGTCGGCCGTGGCGTCCTCATCGTGCTCCCTGGGCTCTTGGTCCTCAGGGATGGCTTTGCTGACGAGGTTGCGGTTTGACTTAGTTCTCCCCATGATCAGTGGTTAGCTGTGCTTGGTAGCGACGAAGGGTGCTAACTTGATTGTTCTAGCTCTCAACGAGAGCACCAAATGATAGAGTATATCTAGAGAGAAGTGAGAGCTAGAGAGAGAAATGCAATAATATGCTTCAATAGAATGATTTTTTAACCCCTATAACTACTCCCAAGGGGAGTATTTATAGAGAAAATATGGGCTGGGCTCCCAAGCCTTGGGCTTGGGAGGCCCACTTACAACTGGACCGCTATTGGGCCGAATACAAAGCCACTAATGGGCTGTACAAATGATTAAGTATAAAATCCGGTTCTGTGAGGTCTTCGGGTCGACGAGGGCACGGCCGACGAGGGCACGACCAACGAGGGCACCCGGGTTCCTTGGGCTCAGGACCATAATCTGAGTTGGCCCCTTTTCGGCCGACGGGGGCGTCTTGGCCGACGAGGACGCCACTCTGTGTCTTGTGCTTTCTGTTCTTCCGAGTATGTGGGTCCGGGGGCTCAGACCCATATACTCCATCATATATATATATATGTGTGTGTGTGTGTGTGTGTGTGTAGAAATCCTGAAGAAAGAACTATATGAAAAATAGTTAAAATAGAGAAACTAAAGCTAGAAAACCAATTTGGTTTCAACAATTCTTTAAATTCAAAAAGTGATTTTAAACCGATTAATATTCGAGTCCCAATTTTCGGCCGATTTCATTCATTTCGATTTAGTTTCAGTTCCTTTTTGTCCTTTCTCGGTTCTATTTTCACTTATTCGATTAGAAATAGGGATATTTACCTGAATAGGAGTAAATAAATCATGAATTGTTAAAATAGGACTAAAATTTAAAATTTCCCACAATAGGAGTTATTATTTGTACTTAGACCCAAATACCCTCAAGCTTAACAAAACATACTGTCGTTGATAGTAAGCCGGACCGCTGCAAGACCTCCGCCGGACCACCAACCATCGCCAGATCTCCGCCGGACCGCCAACCACTGCCAGACCTCCTCCGCACCGCCAACCGCCACTGCATATCTGGCCACCTCCCCCGTAGATCTGGCGCCGCCGCCGTAGATCTGGCCAGATCTGGCCGCCGCCGTGCCCCAACACCGCCCTTACAGATTGGCCGCAGCCGCAACCGATCTGATCTCCGTTGCTGCAGATTCAGACTCCGTCATTGCAGTTCCGCCCTCCGCCGCCTTTTGTTATGCCAATATTTTATCATAATGCCATAATAAATCGAGAATGCCATCTAAATGGCATTTTCAAAGGAAAATATGGAATTTTTGTAGAGTAAGAATGCCATATTTTTGGCATTTCAGATCAAATTAGGAATTTTTTTACAACCAAATACGAAACAGAGCTTTGATCCTGCGACGAAAGGATGCGACAAAAAGGGGCACTTAGAAGACGGAACTGAGGTCTAGAACTTTTTTATCAACCTGTATTTTTTTCGAGCTCCGCCTATATTCATCGTTTCATCATCTCGCCGTTGTCCATGAGTTTGACGTCCCTTGCGAAGCTTGGTCTGTGAAATTGAAAACAACTCACTGAGGGTTGCCGTTTTGGGAGTTGGCTGGAGCGGACAACTCATTAAGGGTAGAATAGGAACAAAACGGAAATTTAATCCTATTTAAGTTTAAAAATAAAAGGAGTCCTATGTGTGCACATTCCATCTTCATTACTCCTATTTACAACAAAAAAGTCTTAGAAATATCAGCCCACAAATTAGTAGCCCACAAAGTCTTTTGCAAAAAGTCCACTAGGCTTCCAACTGGGCTTTTCAGTTGTCTGAGTAGTTTATTCTGTTTGGCATGACTTCTCATTTGCTCGAGAGAGACGAAGGGGAAGAAGAAACATCTGTAGCATTTCTGATCTGATTAGTCCATAGTAGCTTAATAAGACATACGAGCATACGACTGTGTATAAGCTCAAAGGTACAGAATTGCAGGGGAGGGGGAAAGAGATAGAGGCGAAGAATGGGAACGGCATTGGCGCCGGGGCTGTCCCGGAAGCTGAAGAAAGTATTGGAGACCCGTACAGACACGCCGGATCTGCTGGCTTCTCTCAATACTCTCTCAAATTTCTATTCTGAAAACACTCCTCACGCCCGCCGGAGCCTCAGATCTACCATCGAGAAACGCTCTCTCTCCATCAACCAAGAGTTCCTCCTAGCTTCCTCTGCTGCTCAGAAGGCAATTCGCGTTGCTTCATCTAATTCTCTTTCTTAAATGAATTATTTTTGACATTTTTTTGGAACGTTTCAGGCATTGGATCAGGTGGAAGAAGAAGTCAGTGCTCTAGCCGAGTGTTGTGACAAGTAACATTCTGTTCTCGTGTTTCACATTTGTGTGAACTTCTTTCTATGTTAATCAATCAAGAATTTTTTTATGATCATTATAATTCCGATTGGTCATTTAACTCTAGTGCTGAATTTTGAATTATAAAGTTCACACTACTCGTAGTGTTTGAGTTAAACTCTTAACGAGAGGTAAATAAGAGATGAAGCTATACTGTCTAAATTTAGAAATCATATCCATAACACAATGCCGGGTTATGTTTCTTGTGAAGTTCATCAACAATTTGACACAGGTCCTTGTAAATTTGCTTCCGTATCATCAATAGTTAGGTTAGGTAACACCTTAATTCATATTCGTACTACTAAAATTTCAGTGAATGAATACCAGAAAACAAAGCATTTACAGTAGTCCTGCTCTACGCATGATCATGGTCTATGGAGGGTGAGATGTATGCAATCCTTACCTCGACTGACAGGAAGTATAGTGGCTCTACGGGTGAATACCCCTGACTAGGGGGAAAATTTAGGAACTTTTGGAAGATGTTACCAATTGAAAATTCGAGAAAATTTTGAAGATGGAAAAAGTTTTAGACTTTTAGTAGAAAATAAACACCAAAAGGTGAAAGGTAGCTTTAACATGTGGTAAACAATTGCTCGGGAAAAGAACAAAGCAATAAATTTGAATAAAAAAACTACAGAAGGACAGAACATAATTAATGCAAATACGTAAAAATAAGTTTCAGGATCTTAAAGCAGTGTTCAGATTAGAATAACAGAATGCGTATAATGGGCCTACAAATATCTCATCATGATCCTACTAATATTTCATAATGGTGTGATCAGCACGCATCAGTACATTCGGATGACCTAAAAGTTAACCCTGACTCTTAGTGTTAGCATAACAAAGTTTCTTCTATCTTCTGTTTTCTGTTTTGCCGGGAAAGATAGAATGTTCATATAATTTTTTGGACAGCAAGGTGTCATCTTCTTATCTTTTTTTTGTATGTGCAGAATTGCTTTGGCATTAAGCACATGCAACGCCACCACTGGTGATATTATTAGTACCACAGAGAGACTAAAACAGGAACTTGAGATTACTACTCAGAGGCAAGAGATAGTGTCATGCTTTCTCCGTGATTATCAGCTATCAAATGAGGAGGTAAAAGCTAGTCATGTGCCTCTTGCTTCTGATTTCGTTGTTTTGAATTAAGTTACAGGTATGTGTGTTGTATGGGCTACAAATTGTTCCTCCTTTTCTTTCTGCAGATAAATGCACTAAGAGAGGAAGAGCTTGATGAAGATTTCTTCAAGGCACTCGCTCATGTTCAAGAAATTCATGCGAATTGCAAAGTGCTTCTCAGGACTCATCACCAGGTGACCCTCATGTGTGTGTCTCTAGTCAATAAAAAGCAAGCTTTCTATAGGACATGAAAGTGTAACAGTTCCTATAGTTGTCATTAATTTGACAATAATCAATTAGTGTTAGGCAGTCCATGAACTCTGTTCTTTTGGCACATTCAAGAGCATGGGAAGATGTTAAGAAGTACACATTATTCATGGCTAGATAACGCATAGACTAAAGTTACAGAACTCTACAAGAGATGGAAAAAGAAAAAGAATTTGAAACCTGCAGCATCCTATACCTATAGAGGGTAAGATCTTGTACTCCATGTGAGAAAGAAAAGAGCACGGGGAAAATAGATGCTTCAATTATTTACTATTGTCTAAGCAAAATCCTTTGACACAGATTGTATGGAAACTTTCCATACAATCTAGCACGAAAACTTTCCACATATCATGCCTTTCTATATCAACAACTTAAAATTTCTATTTCTGGGATCAGCAATTTGGAAATTTCATTGTTTTTCATTTTAATTGAAAAAATTGTATGGAATAAAAAATTAATGGTTCTCGCCATGGTGCAAACATTGATTAATCCAAGCCCATATGACTGTGAGAAAGACTGGTTGAATCTTAAGTTGTACTCCTACCAAGGAAATTTGAGGCTGGTTGAACATAGTTTTATTTTGCAGAGATTTCAGCATGGTATTCAAACTACAGGATGAATTTACAGTAACATAAGCTTAAGCATCTTAAATTGCAAGTTCACTGAAATTGAATCCAGTGCAATAAAGGGTCTTCTATATTTAGTCTGGCGAGACCTGATTTACAATAGCCATCTCTGTTTTGTTGTATCATTTGTATGTTTATTTCTCTGCTTGGAGCCTTGAACTGATATCCTACTTTTTATATGTAATAATGGGAGATTTCAAATACTAATTCATTGTAGTGGTGTTTACAGCGTGCTGGTTTGGAGCTTATGGATATGATGGCCATGTATCAAGAAGGAGCATATGAACGCCTTTGCAGGTTTTAACTTCTCTAAATCAATGTAATGTTATATTTTTTCCGTGTGCAAGTGAATTTTTCTTTGGGTATATTTTTGCTACTTTTCCAGAATAAATAAATAGCTCATATTCAGCTGAAAGGTATCAGGCACTAGAATCAGCTTGATAAATTTTGTTAGTTTATGATTGAGGCTTTACTATTTTAATTATGAAGTTTGAAATTATTAATGCATCATCATCCTAACTTAAATATTGGTTGGTTCCGGTTTACATCCAAGATCAATTTAGTGGCACCTTATAATTTATGCTATAAATGTTAATGTATAACACTTTAATGGTTAAATGTATTATTTATCTTGAAATCGACTATTGATTTACGTATTTAACATGGTGGTGATTATATATGTATTATAGGTGGGTCCAGACAGAGTGCCGAAGGCTGGGCGACATAGACAACCCTGAAGTTAGTGACCTTTTGAGAAATGCAGTACGTTGCCTTAAAGAAAGACCTGTCCTTTTCAAATATTGTGCAGAAGAGGTAACTTTTCATAATGGTTAATGAATCCAATTGCATAAAATTATACTACCTCCGTCCCCGGTCCCCCTAAGATCTATCTATATACAAAGCGGAGTGAAATATCAACTAAACTTCCCGCTCAACAATGTCAAATCATGGGCAAAAATCTATATATTGGCTTGGGGAAAAAAGAATTAATGACCGGTCAAATTAAACATACTAACATAATTAATACAGAGTATTGCTTTGTAAGTTGTAGCTAGCTGAAAAGAAACCAATGGATAAATAAAAGGTAATTCATGTCAAAATCAATTCGCCGGCACTATTGTCACAAACTTCCGGCAAAATCAACAGGTCAAATAAAAGGTACCTTCATGCTTTTCCATTGCCAAACTATTGCATGGTACAAGACTGGCAATTTAAAAAGGGTAAAGAGGTGGTGGTAGCCTGGTAGGTAAGAGGATATATGAAGTAAGGACTATATTTTAGGGAATTGATATTTAAATTGAAATATTTTTAAAAAATATATTTACTTAAAAGTGTCTTAGAATCTTAACAGTCTAAATATCAACCATGTACTAGGGACCAGCTTCTTCAGATTCTCATTACATGTAAATTTTGCAAAGTACGAAGTAGTTTTTTATATATTTTCTTTTCAAATGAAGAAAGGCTTCATTATCTTCTTATGGAATGTGTGATAATATCCTGACATAAGAATAATCACATTTAAATAAAATAAAGATTATGTATTTCAAGTTATATGAATTAAAAAATTATATGAGCATCTTATATGCATTGAAATTTATGACTTATTGAAATTTTATAAATACATCAGATCTCCTATAAAACACTCCTAATTTCATTCTTAAAAAATCATCATTTTGGCGTTCAGCCATCTTTTTTTATCTTAAAACACTCCTGATTTCATTCTTAAAAATCATCATTCTTCAAGAATTCCAGAAAAGAAATATTTTCATTTCGTATATAAAAGTAATTACTGTTATTTATAATGTATATTTTAAGAAAAAAAACTACAATTATTTAGGTAATACTCCCTCCGTCCCATTTTACCTGTCCTATTTTCCTTTTTGGGTTGTCCCGAAATAAGTGTCTGCTTTCCTTTTTTGAAAGAAATATGTGACCTACACCATTCCACTTTATTATTCTCAAATCTCAACCACAACTTTTACTTTTTCAACTACTTTATTAAGAATCGTGCCAAGTCAACGTGAGACACATAAAATGGGACAGAGGTAGTACCTTTTAATTTTAATATCCTTTTACTATCAACATTATGATTTGACTCTTCCAATTTATGTATTCTTAATATTTATTACATTTTCTTTCAATGCATTATGTATTGCATTTGTTTCAAAACTATCATGTATTAATAATGTAAGTAAATAATAATACATCACTTTTTACAAAAAAATTTCCCGTGCAATGCACGGGTGAGAATCTAGTTGGGACAAAGGAGAGTGATGCGGTTTTTAAGAAAAGTAGAGTTATGTGGTTGATAATGAATTGATAAAGTGAGAATAAAGTAAGAATGAATTAGAGCCACAGAAATATTACCAAATATGATATGGGACAATTATAGTGGGATGGTTGAAAAAGGAAAAATGGGGCAATTATAGTGGGACGGAGGGAGTACCTTATAAGCTTTGCAAGTTGTACTCACATGATCCATATAAAAAATCTAAAGGTTGCAAACATGAGACACAATGCCTTGTTTAGAAGATTTATAAGTGCTCTCACTCGCGGAGGACCTGGTGGACTACCTAGGCCGATCGAAGTGCATGCTCATGATCCTCTGAGATATGTAGGGGACATGCTTGGATGGTTGCATCAGGTGGAGATAAATTTACCATCTGTGTTTATTTGTGATATGAAGGTCAAAGTGGTGCTACATGCTTTATTTACACCTTTTTTATTGTTTCCTTTAAAGGCATTGGCATCTGAAAGAGAACTTGCCCTTGCATTGCTCGAACCAGATGTAACTGCTGATACTGAGTCAACTCAACATCAGTTCTCGAAAAATCCTCCAGAGGGGGGTACAGGAAAGATGGATTCTGATTTAACATTTGTGCTAGACAGGATCTTTGAAGGAGTTTGTCGTCCATTTAAAGTAAGAGTTGAACAAGTTTTGCAGTCTCAGCCTAATCTTATCATTGCATACAAGCTTAGTAATACCCTGGAGTTCTACAACTGGACAGTGAGTTGGAATCCTTTTTTCAATGAAGTTTTGTGCTGTTTTGTGGTTTATTCCTTCTTTTTCCTTTTCCTCAACTGTTCGTTTCTGATACAGATATCAGAGTTACTAGGAAGAGAAACAGCACTATGTAATACCATTTGGGTGCTTAAGGAAGCAACTTCCAAAACCTTTTTTGACATACTAAAGGTTAGGGGAGAGAGACTGTTAAGATATCCTCCCTTGGTTGCCGTTGATCTATCTCCACCACCAGCTGTAAGGGAAGGGGTCTCATTGCTGCTTGAAATAATTGACACACATAATAGCATGATGATTCCTTTGTCAGAGAAAAAGCCTTCCTTTGATCCAGTCATATCTGCTCTTTTAGATCCTATAATCCAGGTTTTCTCCTGCCCCCACCATTTTATCAACAAACTGGTTCAACTGGTTCTTATTTTCTTTGCCAGTCTGGCGGACTGGCAAAGTGATCATGCTATCACATTTGAATTAATTTCTCAATTTACTGTCTATGCAGATATGTGAGCAAGCAGCAGAAGCACACAAGTCCAAGGGAACCATTCAGTCCTTGAGAAAAAGCAGAACGAGCTCTGATCCTATTCAACTACGTAGATCATCTATAGATGCTATTGTGGAGACTGGCCGTTCCACACCATCATTTCAGGTTTTTATTCTCAACATTGTGTCAGAACATTTACCCATTCGCAGTTCAGCTTTCAGCTGCTGTGAATTTTCATTGGTTGAGTGTGCACGCCATTGCATGTGAAAAAAATAGAATAAGTGGGAAATGGAAGGTGAAAATAAGGATGATAGTTGCCATAAATGGAAAATTGAGCAATTATTAATAAACTTTCATAAGAGGAATATGGAACACCTAAAAATAAAGAGGGAGAGGGAGAGAATATTACTCGAACCCAATAAACAATCAAGGTGAGATACCCAACACTTAACATATGTGCTCAAAACTACTCCAAAAGGGTTGCCCAAACCATTGCGTAGGTGGGCTTCCCAAAACTACTACCAGATCAGGTTCTAGGGCCCAACTCAATGCACTTGAAGCCCGTTGTGAGACTCCATATAAAAGGCAGACTCGCGGTACTTGCCCGTTTTCTTACATAACCTATAGTTCCATTTCTTTGTGCAGAGCGAAAGGCCAGCCAAAATTTTCCTTATCAACTGCCTATGTGCCATCCAACAACCATTGTTTGGACATGGAGTTGCATCTGAGTATGTCAACAAACTGGGCGTGATGATAGATGGACACGTGCGTGGTCTTGTGGAGAAAGAAGTCGATGTCCTCCTTAAAAGGTGTGGATTGTCAACTAAGATGCCATATTTCCACAAGTCATTCAAAATAGATGAGTCCGGCAACATAGTCGACGGGCCACCATTAGCAGAGCTCAAGGAAATGGATCCCGCAGCCATTGCAGAGAATCTGAAAGCTTTCTTTGGGCTCGTTTTGGGAAGTGAGGGTGTGTTGCCAGAATTTGAGGCGATGCAAGTGCCAAGACTGAGATCAGAAGCCTGTGCGCAGGTAGCAAGGTCGCTGGCCGAAGCATACGAGGTTATTTACAAAGCCATAATGGATCCTAAGAATGGTTACCCTGATCCCAAGTCATTGGCCAGGCATCCCCCTGATCAGATTAGGACCATTTTGGGAATTTGATCCATTAGCTTTCAGCCTTTCAGTACATAAATGTAAATTCACTTGGTCTATTTTGGTGGAGTAAACGACTACTAAAAATTATTTATTTAAATTGTGTACACTTTTGGCAGAGAACCAACTCAACCAAGTATCTTTAATACTTTCATTTTTCATTAATTCTCTAAAGGAAAAATAAGACTTAATATCTGAGCATTTCTATGGAGCCATATAATTTCTGACTTCAAATTTAGTTATTTGCTTGTGCACGTCGGGCTTATCATTTATGCACCCACTATAAAAAGGAATGTTAATAGACTAATAGTAATGCCCCCACGTGAACATATATGGCTCATTGGCTCTTTCATGTTTTAATTACTATTTTTTCCCTTTTCAATTACTTAAGAAAATCTTAGTTGTTAAAATTTGAATCAATTTTCCATCAGTTCGGAATATTGCTGCTCCCACAAAGATGACAAAACAACAACATTTCATATGCAATTATGCAAATGATTCATGTTGTTGTGAACCGGCTTTCTTCATTAGTGGGTATGTTCAATGTTCTAAAAGGCGTAAGGTGGGTTGAGGTGGCACTGCCAAGCCTTGAGCCTTTGAAGCCTAGACGAGTTTATGCGTCTCCTTAGCATGAAAAGGCGTTTTGAATTTTTACTCATTTTTTAAATTTCTAAACTGGTATTAGTCGAGTCTTGCGATTTAGGATTGAGTCTTAAGTCTTATGTTATTAGGTCTTATGATTACTATTTTACATTATTTTGCACATGTTTAGTGCTTTATCTTAGTTATTAGGGTTCATGTCCAAGTGAGTGAAAGAATCTAAATCGATCATGTTTGGATTATAATTGTCCGTGTTAGGATTAGTGAGTCATATTGCTTTTGTATGAGTGATTGAAACGAAATTTGATTTAAGGATCAGTGAGTCATTATTTTTTGTCTTGTTGTAACTTGTTTTATTTTCAATGATTTAATATCAGCTAATTAGTAATTACCATAAAAGTAATAGTAATAGAATAATATTAGTAATAATAGGAATGATGATTTTGATGATAATAACAATGATCATAACTATCATAATAATAAGAGTAGCAATGATACAGAGTAGTGATGTTTATATAATACTACGTAATTCTGTGCTAATTTCATATCAAACTTGGAATATGCATACTTGATGGCGTGGACTTATAGATTGTGGTTTATGGAGTATAATATACGGAGTATGCAGCTAGGTTCAATCTCTAAGGAAGCACAAGTAGTTTTCTATTAAAATTTCTTTCTTTCTTCTACTTCATTTTTCACACACCGGATGAGGAGGAAAGTAAATCTTCCATGAGAGCTAATAAATAGGAGTCATTCTCCTTTGAATATGGTAGCCACACCTTGTGGTCAACGTACCTTACTTGCTTCGGCTAATTTAGCCCAGTAAACAGGTGTGACCAGAGAGTATTAATTGGGTTGGGCGCCTTTTGTCTCGCCTATAGAGCTTGCGGGGCGTTTTGATTACGCCTGTCATTTAGGCCCGCCTACGCGCCGCCTTTCTAGGCGCCTTTCTGGGCTTTTTAGAACATTGGGTATATTAGATTGATGACAATGTATTCAATTTGTATCTCATTTGTGTTAGGTTAAGATTAAGAGAATGTAACATTATTTTGTTTTGTTGAATGCTATATATTGTAGATTTGGTGAATTACTTCAATGCTTTTCAAATATTTTCTATTAACACAATAAACTTATTACAACCTACATTTAAAGTAATTTAAATTAAGAAAAATGAAATATCTCAATAAGAAATAAAATCAAAACTTATTGAATAATTTTGAAGAAAAGTATGTTTGATTGCAAAGATTAGTGAACATTAATAAATAAATATGGAGAAAGTTTAGAAGAAGAATGATACAACGTGAAAAGAAAATAAGAAATAATGAAGAAAGCAATGTAATTTCTTTATTTTCCCATAGGGGTGGACTCGGGCCAGGCCAACCGGCCCGGAACCGGACCGGCCCGCTACTGTGCGGGCCCGGACCGGCCCAGTGAACCGGTTGGTTGGCCGGTTCGGGCCACCCGGCCCGGTGGGATCTCGGTTCGGGCTCGGGCCCTTCAAAAGGTGAACCGGCCCGGCTAGTTCGGGCCCGGACCGGGCCATTTTTTTTTAAAGTTTTTGGGTTGGGCTGGGTATTTTGGGCCATTTGAGGTGGTTAGGGTTGGTTTGGGGGTGAGAGGGAGGGTTGGGGGTTAACTAGGAAAAGCCAAAAAAAAAAAAAAAAGAACGAGACCCGGCCCGGCCCGGACCCGGGGGTTACCCGGGCCGGTTCCGGGCCTCCCATACCTTGAACCGAGGCCCGGCCGATTCAAGGCCCGAATCGGGCCCGACCTGAACCGAGTCCATCCCTATTTTCCCATCCAGGTTTAGTCCAAAGCTCAATGGTGGCGTTTATTTTTTTGAAGAAGTGGATGCAAAGGAGATAGTGTAGGATGCTTCTTCAAATCTAATAAGCATGGGTGTTTTTAGAAGAAAAAGTATAAGTAAAACGGAATGTAGGATAACCCAAGAGAGGGTTGGGTTTGACATTACCAGCCATCTCATTCCTTTATTCTCTTTTGGAAAATGTAACATACCCGAAAAAAATCTAAGCACGCGAACTAAACGCGGATATCTCTTATTCCGGACATCAGATTCCGCCCTACATGAAGGATTACCTCGAACCAAACGTGCTCTAAATATTTTAGTGCAATATTGCTAGTCGTAGGCAATATTTATTTTTGAGTATTATTTGGAGATGCTAGTTTTTTAGAAGTTCTTGTGTACACAACACAAATGTTTACTTTAAATTTTCAAAAAGAATTAAATGGGGAGATTTCCCAAAATAGGAGTAAATGAAGTTTGGAATTTCAAAATAAGACTGTCATCTTGTAGGCGTGACTGTCAAATAGTTGCAGTACAACGCATTTAATATGACAATATTTATTATAATTAGTGATAATATTTTTCAATCATGACAGTATTTTTTATAGATGGCAGTAACAACTCCTATTTCGGGAATGAAAAACATAATAGTCTTATTTGGGAATTCCAAACCTCATTTACCCTTATTTAGGGCAATTTCCCAATTAAATGTGACACATGTATTGTCTCTAAAATACATGTTTGGATCCAATTTAATATCCTGTTAAACATTTACTCCTAGGAAAAGCGAAAATAATGTACCAAGAAAAGTTATTTGTTTTGTTTGGATTTGCCGCAGAAATTCCAAAGTGAAACTAAAACTCATCTGTGCTTCTAATAAATTTGTTTAGTATTCATGTGAATTGTGAAACAAATAGAAGCAATTGCGAACAAATACTAAAAATAAATTGTCCAAGTTTCAAATATTGTTTTATGTTCCAAAACATTTTACTTTCTTCAAAAAATTGTCTCCCTAATTTGTTTTGTAGCACTAAATATGTTCACAAACAAAATGTTGGCTGTGAATAAAGATATTTTCTGGATGGATGTATTATGTATACAAATGATGCACTTAAAATGTTGTACAAACATATGTTCCGTTATATTATATCCATGATTGGTAAAGTAGGTTACATACGTTCCAACATCACCTGTTTATTAATCGTCATTTTCATATATAGCGACTTACTTAACCGACTTCTGCCCATGAGCATTTACAGATATTGATTCTACTTCAGCTCACATTTCCATCAAATAAAGTAAACAGCTAAAAAAGACTACTATTCAGGGGGGGGAAACGAGTTATTGCATCCATCATTCTTGCCAGTTATACTTGCTTGAAATAAGAGCAAAAGGTCTGATTCTTCAACAGCAAAATAAACTATGAGAACAAAAACTTATAATAACCAAAACTCGAGCAAGGCACAAACAATTAAGAGATAATGTAGGCCGGCTTCAGTGTCATCTAAGCTCGTGTTCCCCTGTTAAGACTAACCATTCGAGCAGACGTATCACCTTGGCTTCTCCTGACTGAGGAGCCACCAGCCTGGTATCGTGACCCTTGATTCCCAACCGAATATCCACCACCACTAGATCCTCTTGCCTGGTTGGACCTGTTATCCCTTGAGAACCCCCCACCACTACCATATCCATATCCTCCTCCTATACCTCTATTATATCCTCCTGTTCTGCCACCACCTTGCCTTCCTTGCGAAGAGAAGTCCTGCCACTTCCCACCTCCTCCACCAGCCACCGCAGCATAATCTTGGCTCTCTCTTCGTCTGCTAAATGGAGCACTGTCCAACCCGCCACCAATCTTTACCTCTATTGCTCTGTCATTGCTTTCTGCAAGAACCGCCAGTTTCTCTGTGAGCTGGAAAGCCAAAGCCTGCAGCCTTGTATGCTCAACACCATGGAATGCCACACACCGAGTAGGTTGGTCCAAGCTCGCGTGGAGTTCGTCAGATATCATCAGTTTGCTCACTAAGGAGTGGGTTTTTGACTCAGAGAGGCCAAACATCTTTGCAAGCTGGTCAAGACTGAGAGAATTGTAAGAAGAAGAGTAAGTGAAGAGATACGTCCTCAAAGCTTCTTCCTTTAGCTTTGCACCAAGCATTTCTAGAACGTTCTGTTTGTTCCGAAGAAGACCCCAGACATTGAGGGAGTTAATCACATCAAAGGCTTTGTTGAAATCACCTTGCTTCAAAGCCCTTGTGGCAGCCATCACGTGGTCCCTGACATTCTCAGGGGGGCCAGTGAAGGTTTGCCTTTCACTCACTTCTAGCAGTCTCCGGAATGTCTTGCTTATGACTCTGCTCTTTGAGTCATGGCTGTTGGCTGCCATGTTTGGGACCTCCAACAGCATCGCACATATTAGATGGACAGCTTCTAGGAGTTCAAGATTTATGTGCATGTGATAGGGCATTTGACGCCTTCTTTCCATCCTCTCCTGGTAGTTTGAATATGTGCATTTGCAGAAAAAATAATGAGAAACTAGTAGTATGTAATAATAATAAGTATGAGCATTACTATGATCTAAACTGTATGTAATTGAATCTAAAAAGCAATTCAGTGGTTTCAGCAACGATGTGCAATGTCACCTTGAGTAAGTTCGATCATCAGTAACATAAGTTGAGAAAACAATATAGGTAGAATACCTTCCCAATCACACCCTTCTCCCCTTTGTCAATGACACTAAAGTTTCTAGAACTACAATACAGCATGCACAATGTTGACCTGAAAATATCAGTAGCAAATACTACCCCACCACACAAAGATAGTCAATTATTTCACTTCGGCCCATCCTGCATTTCCATCTTTGGTGTAAAGATAGTCGAATACCCCACAAAGATACTCCAGTTTCTATATTGAAGAAATTACCACATCATTTTTATTGAACCACTTCCTTATTAATCAATGCATTGACCATATTAACTATCATATCTAAATTCAAGAGCAAGAAAATAGAATACTGTCCAGGTGGTGTCAAGGAAAGAGAAGATCATGCCTGTTCTGGAGTCTTTTCATGATATCGACTCTGTGAGACGCCTTGTGCAAGCAACTCCTTCACTCTACCAGCAGAATACAGCTCAGAAAGACAACTATGACCCTCAACAATAAATCCAGCCCTGAATGCACAGAGACCAAGCTGAGCCATGGCTCTGTTATAAAGTATCTGTGTAGAAATGTCCATGTGTTGCACATTATCCTGCAAGTGACTCATTAGCAGTAGGTCACGTGCAACCGAAAACTCGTCCAGGATGGCATGATGGTAAATATCACATAGCATAGCACGGGCTTTAGTTCTCTCATCACCACACTTATATATGAGTGAGACAAGAATATCCATCAATGTCCTACTGTTCTCTTCAAAGGTGGGTTTCCTTGAAACAACTTCGAGAGTTGGAACAATTGCAGGTGGCCCCCTCTTGAATTCCTCCCCAGACTCTGTTTCTTCCTCAACATTCTCTGTTTGTTCAGCCCATTTCTTCATGGCACCATACACTTCCTGTGGTTTATAGTAAATGAGCTCGACACGTTTTAGAGCCACTTTAGCTGCACCTTTATAATCTCCAACCCTTTCCAAGTAATCTTGCACGTTTTGTGCAAGAACAACAAACAACGGTTCGTCTTTCAGCCTCTCTACATATTCACGTGTATGAGGATCCATAACCTGTAGACTTTTGAAGAACTCCACGTCTATCTTTTCCACAAAGGCTACCAGGTTCCCCCATATCCTAATGGTCCCCTTATGATCTGCTTCTTTTTTAGTCTCATTCTCATCAGGCTCCACTTTGTCATCAACGACTACATTAGGGTACTGATTGAGAATGTCGAGTATGGTAAGCATATTGCGCACACATGCTTTCCAAACATTTATAGGCATGTGCCCACTTAGACTTGGGTTGACATCAAACTGCGCGGAGACGACACTGAAAAGGATCTCAAGCTTTTGGGCAGGGGTCTTGGCCACCTTGGTCAGGAAGGTGAGCTGTTCCACCAGTTCGATTCTTCCAGTTCCTTTTCTACCTCTTGCGGCGACCACTTCTCTGAATTTCTTGTTCACGATATCCCATGTGATTTGGCTGGGATCCTTGAACTGTTTATCCATAAGCTTATCTTTCTTGCTAAGCATTTTCTCCCATCCAGCACCGGTTTCAGTTGACTGGTCCTGATCCTCATCCTCATCATCCTCATCTTCATCAGATTCTGCTTTGGTAGGGTCCTCTTCGAAGTCTTCCTCAGATTCTTCCTCTGATTCATCATCATCAACCGCCTCATCGTCACTCTTTGGTGGATCCTGTCTATACGCTTCAATTGACTCTTCATATAACTTATTGTTTTTCTTCAGCTTTTGTTTCATAGAATTCATGGCTTTAGCATTACTACTACTCATCTTCTTCTTGGCTTCTTTATTCACGAAGGCTTCGACAAGAAAGTCCTCCAAGATCACTAGAGCCTTTATGTAAACAGTAGGCACCTTTTCTGAATCTGTTGTTCGCATGACCTTGTCAAGCTGCTTGTTGATCTTATCAAAGCTCTCCTGCAGGCTAACCCAGTCATTGATCTTCATGGCGTTCTTCATTTGGTCAAGTGTGGCCAACATCTCTTCATGTCGTTTGTCCAGCTTTTTTATGACACGCCGGTGTACATTATTGTCATCACTGTCAGATTCAGATTCTGATCTGAGATATTTACTCTTATTTGCAGCATCAATTGAATCCATGGGTCCATCTTCAACCTCAATATCACTCTCCTCCTCTTCACTAGCATCATCACCTGTCTATAGTAATAAATCCAAACAGGAAAAAACATATCAACATAAATAAATACAACTATTTTACATCGCAAAAAAATACAACTCTTTTACTGAGAACATATATGTAATAAAGAAGTAAAAAACAGCTTTAAAAAATCCCATGAAAAGAGGTTCAGATTCCACATCAGTATGACAAATTTTAATACTTGTTGAGTTTTACTTCAACTGGAGTCTGGGTAGTTGAAGGCCAAAATGTTTAAAACAACCAGGAAGATTTTAAGAGATTAACCAAGTTGAAATATATTGAATCAATCAAATGATTCAAATCAGAGGTAACAAACTTTAAGAGTTCGACAAACTGATATGCAGTAATATATGTAAGAAAACCACGAACCTGGTAAAAAAACTTAGACGACATCTTGCAACAGTTTTCTGAGAAGAGAAGTGAATAAGCTGCATTGGGAAACAAATTGGAGAAAGGCATCAGAAAATATCCAGGGAAAAGGATGATATACAATCAAACTACATAAATTATACAAAAACTGAAAACAAAAATTGAATCTCTACACAGCGAGAATACTATATAGATACATGTCACAATAATAGAGAAAACGAGAGATCGAAATGGAAGCATGTACAAAATCAAAACGTAGCAGAAAACAATAGTTGGCAATCCAGACAAAGCCATAAACGTACCTCAAAGAACCGATCTCAAACTGCTCCAATCCGCTAGGTAATAGCAGGGAAGGTGGAAGTAGCGTCTGTGAGCGAAAAACGCCCTAAACAATTTATAAGAAGGGCCTTCTCCGCGCAAGCACCCCTAATTAGTTGAATAGGGTACAAGCAATACACATGTATCAAATCTCATTACTATATATAAAAGAATAATTCGTGATTGCATACGTGAATGATAGAAATAAAAATAATAACCAAGTCCAAGACATAATTTTGCAAACTAATGTCAACAAATAAGACATAATAAAAATAGAATGAGACTAAGTTAAAATCATTATCATTATATGATCATCAAATAACACTCAATTTAAACTCATCATTTTCATCAAGAAGACGGATGACATATAAGAAAAGTTGTACGACTGTTATGCACGCTTATTATTGTTTATGTGTAAAAGTTTATACAAAAATAATGTCAGGTTTAGAAGAGACTTAATTTTGATATGCTTTTTTGAGGGAAAAAAAACATGAGAATTCTAGTATATTTTAAGTTTTAGTCTTATCGGATGTTTTTTTTTACAGGAAACTAACATATTATATTAAAATCAAGCTCACAGTACAATTGTAACACCGTCCCCAAATTATATTTACTTTTTAGTAAATAATGTATTAAATACTATGGAATGATCAATGAATTTATGAAGTTGTAATTTTTTATTAATTCTTTCGCGTGAATAGTAAATTGCACGTGGGACCCACATCGGGGGCGGGGACCACCCAACATTCCCGAGACCACATATTTTATTCATCTTGGTAAAGATAATATTTATAAGGTGGTGGATATTTTAGTTGGGCCATAGAAGGGCATAGAGTTGACCCTTCAATCAAACAAGGCCCAATTACCGGTAACGGTAATTTATCAGATAACAACTCGAAACGGATTTCGGAGACATCTAAATTAAAGATGAGGAATGTATATTCATTCCAAAAGTCCATAATGATGGGAAACACATAATATGATTTATTGGACCCGATAAAATAAAATATGATTAAAACAGTCCGAAAAATACAACTTTCGAGGCCGACTGTGCACTTCATGACACAAAGGGATGACCTCTCACATGAGTGGGGGCCACTCCACGTTTTTGTGCACTCAATAAGTCATATGAGGGCTAGCATGACAAGGAAGATGTGGAGGGAAACTTTTCCTTTGGCATCAAAAGTACAAAGGTGACCCCTCCCTCACTCATTTGTCAATTAAGACAAAAGTGAGTCATCATCTCTCCCTCCAACCTATGTGCTCGGCCAGACCACCCAAGAAAGAGGAAGAAAAAGCTCTCCAACCTTTCTCCATTGCTGCAACTCGACCTCAAACTATAGGGGTCCAAAGAAGGAGGTTTGAGAAGGGAAAAGTTAGGAAAAAGTGAGAAGAATTAAGGTAATGATCTTATATTAACTTTTCCTTTATTTTTCTTCTACCATATGAGATATATGACATATGAGGAGACCCTAGGATTGTTCTACATGTTTAGAAGTGTAGAATGAGGGGTTGGAAGGTAGTTCTAAGTCCAAGAACAGACTTAGAAGCCAAAACGACCGGTTCGTCAGAAAATAACCTTTTAGGGGTTATTTGTATTGATATGAGTTTTGTGATGATGAAACCATGTTAGGAGCATAAATAAAGTGTTTCTAGAGTTTCGCCGGAGTTCGCCGGAGTTCTCCGGAGTTTCGTCGGAGTTCAACCGTGGAGCGTAGAACACGCTAAAAGCTCATTTAAGGTGAGTGGACGGATTAATATCTAAAAGCTTATGAGATTACCTAAATGAATGTTATATGTATTCATAATGATGTTTAAAAGGTATTTAAACATCCGATTAGCCAAAATGATTAGGCATGTATGAAAAGAAGTACATGAATATGCATGGAATATGATATGAGAATTTCTATGAAATTGCATGCTATGTTTGAAAGGTAAAGGAAGTATAGAATTAACATTGTTAACTTAATATATATGATGATTAAGTTGATATGTACAAGACTTGAAATGGCGGTCAATGAAAACGTGACTGATGGACAATGGATTAATTAATACCGGATGGTATTAATTAATTATGAATTTATATAAACGCATGGCTTTTGCATGGATTGTGATACATAAGCTCTATGTATTGATTTAGCTATGAATGAATAAATATGATATAGACTCTATCTAGGTTGATAGGAGGTTGATCATAGGATTATAAATTTGGTGGAGGACCCTAGGACTTAAAGTCCTTAACACTCGTATTATATTTTGGTGGAGGGCCCTACGACTTAAAGTCCTTAACACTCGGATTATAAATTGGTGGAGGACCTTAGGACTTAAAGTCTTTAAAACTCGGATAATAAATTGGTGGAGGATCCTAGGACTAAAAGTCCTTAACACTCAAATATAAATTGGTGGAGTACCCAAGAATTTTGATCCTCAAAACTCATAGATTATGATATTGAAATATGGACAAGGAGGAGTCATATACACTCATAGGTATATGGGTGGGTTGGGGTTTTTAGTCAAGAATATTGGCTATTACTATTTTCCCCAAATAAAACGGTGATCTACGGATCGGGTATTTTCCAAGTGTATATATACTATTAAGTATTTCTTAACTTGGGGGAAAGGACTATTTATATAAGTATCACCCTACGTTTGGGTCTTATACTTGAAACGTTAGTTATTCTATATTTAGCCTGCTACTCGTTCGATACTTGTACTGACCCCTTCGGGGGGCCCCACCATTTTCAGGTTGAAGCTACAGCTTGCTACCTGCACCTTTCTACGGGTGACATCAAATCAAGGAAGACGTGGTTCGTGCTTCCTCGTTTTCTTTCAAATTACCAAACATTGCTCATGGATACTTTTATTCGTTATAAACTAATTTTGGGCTTGCATGCCCATGTTATTGGCCGAATGTGGCATATGAATTACCGCTGAATATTTCCGCTATTCAATGGTTTAATTGTGATGTTTGTTATGTATGTTTACTACTGAGTATGTATGGATTGTTTTCTCGAACGCCTTGTATGATTAAGTGGGGTTGACCTGCGGGTGACGTCACTCGATTATATGGCAGTTGTACACGCACTTAGATTGCGGTCTGGGGCGTGACAACAATAAGGTAACATGCAATTCAAACAATAAAGTAACCCCCTCTATCCCAAAATGACCAAAAGCCCACCGGCCCCCTCACTCCTAGATCAGACATAGAATAATCCACCTTAAAAAGAGTGAGACTAATCGCTGAAAATGTGAGAGCTTCGAGGCTATTAGCGGCTGAATCAGCCCGATTGCCTCCAAAAAGTAATCTATCAACTAAAGCAAAACAAAGCGTCATTCTACTCCTCTTATTGTTTATCCTAAAAAGAGAAAAATAGAAATAGTAAAATAGTCTGGACTGAAAATAAAAAACTAGAAATAGTAAAACAGCCTACCAAACCCTAGGCGCATAGTTCATCCATGGTGGTGGTTCGGGAGGGGGACGGATTTTTATCCCTTTATCTTCTTCCTTCATCACTTCGATATGTCCATGAATCACCTCCTTCTCTTGACCAAGGTACTGCACGAACAAAACCGATCCGAGAACAAGTAGTCTCCACATCTCAATCCGGATTAGTCACTTATCGGATGTTAGCTTTAGCCATCATGGAATTAATTTTAGTATTTAATAATGGTATTATAACAATACAAAAATACAGGGTCAAGGAGAGGAGCTTTTTTTTAAAACTATTATTTGATCTTCTATGCATTTAATGTGTTCATTCAATTGATCAATTCATGTTTCTATTTTTTGTAAAATACGGAAAAATACTTTTTGTACGGGAAGTAAAAGTTTTTTTCCCTTTTTAAACGGACCGACATTATTTTTCGTTTTAAACGCGTTTTTTTGTTCAAAAGCGGTACGATACATGTTTAAAACGCGTTTAAAACACAAAAAAAAGCTAACTAGACACACACCCAAATAATTTTTTAGGGATCCAAAATCAGAATCAAAATACTACTAATTGTATATGTGGCACAAATATACATACAAAAAATAAACTTATAAAACTTCTTTTTTTATACATGCAAAAAAAAACTTATAACACTTCTTTCTTTAAACAATGTTCTATATTTTAGTTTAATTTTAGTAAAAATATCAAGCACAATATGTACATCATGATATTTCATTTCACATTATGGAGAAACAGTCATCTTGATAAGACTATTCAAATAAGGAGACAAATATTTCTTAATTAGTTTTTATGTGTCTATTCCTCTTACTTCACGTATGAATTGTGCACATTATTACATTGGAAACGCTTTTAACGCCCCTTGTGATCTATATATGGGATATACACATCGCTTTTTATTTCAAATCCCTTTATTTATTTATTTATTTATTTATTTATTTGTTATTTATTTATTTATTTATTTATTTATTTATTTATTTATTTATTTATTTATTTATTTATTTATTTATTTATTTATTTATTTATTTATTTACATTATAGTTAAATTTCATTGAGCAATAAATGTACTTATTTCTCTTTCTCCATTTCTCCATAGGGGTTGATTATTATTTTTCATTAAGTCTTGAATGGATTAAGTTGTATAACTGTATTAAAACGTTTGTTTGGATAAAGTGACATAGAGATAACAAGTTATTTACTTTAATTTGTTAATTGATTAGTTTACCCTTCTATTTGGAAGAAGTGTTGAATATATATTACTACCTCCGCCCCCCTAAGATTGGGAAAAAGGATAGTGGAGAGGCTTTTGTGAAATGTAAAGTTATGTGGTTGATAATGAATTGATAAAGTGAGAATAAAGTAAGAATGAATTAGAGCCATACAAATATTACCAAATATGATATGAGATAAATTTAGTGGGACGGACACAAAAGAAACAATGAGACAATTATGGTGGGACAAAGATATGTTTACTTTCTTTGTTCTAAACGATAACATTGGATCCCAAAAATCATTATATTATGAATTATTAATTTATTTTACTTAAATGAAATAAACACATTACATGATGAAAAAATAATTATATTATGAATTATTATCTTTACAATCCTATAAGCGTGAGTGAGGGTTAGGGGTAAATTGGCATGAGTAAGAGTGTGTTTGCCTCCTATACTTCGACAGAGGAT